ATTGCCAGGTGGCAGGCAACATTCACCCTTTACGCTGCTGCAGAGTGAAATGTGGCTGTGTTGTCCACCGAGTCCCTTGCAACAGAGGATTTCCACAACAAAAAGAGGTGTTCTCCTCAAGTGTCCACAGTCTCTCTTGTCTCTAGGCCTTTGGACACACTGTTCCCCTGGAAGTCTGCTTCTCTCTCTTCACTAAGCAAATCCTCCTCATCCTTAAGGCTTTATCTAGTTGGATAAAATTTCCCTTCAAATCTAAAGAAGAACCAGGCACCAGTGGCCCCACACCTATAATCAAATCCTAGCTGCTTGGGAAGCTGAGATGGAGAGGATCAGAGAATTGCAGTTCAATCCTGGGCAAATAATTCACAAGACCCCATCTCCAAAATAACCAGAGCAAAATAGACTGGAAGTGTGGCTCAAGCAGTAGAGCACCCGATTTGCAAGCACAAAGCCCTGAGTTCAAACCCTAATCCTGAAAAAAAAAAATCTGAGCTAGATGCACCTCCATTGTGTTCTCTCTGAAGCTTGTACTTTCCTCAGCATGGCCTCCACACTTACTTGCATTTTCCTGCCTTAACTCCAAGTTCTATAAGAATGGACACCCCACCCTCATTCATCACTGGATCCTCAGCACCAACCACAATACTGGACACATACTAAATGCTCATTAAATGTATTTTAACTGAATCAAGAATAAGAGATGAATATTAATGGTATCACTCCCCCACACCATAAAGAATGGTATCAGACATTCTTTATCCCTGTCTGGTCTGGAGTCAAGTACCGTTAATTCTACCTCCATAGTCTAGACTCTTGTTATCTTTCTCCGGGACCCTTGCAGTAGCTCATCCGTTGCAGAGTACATCTGTTGTTTCTGCTTATGCAATAGCTCTTTCCTGTTATTTAGGAAACTGCCACCATTTCCTTTTTTTTTTTTTTTTCAGTACTGGGGTTTGAACTCAGGGCCTACACCTTGAGCCACTCCACCAGTGTAATGGAGTTTTTTCAAGATAGGGTCTCACAAACTTTTCCTGGACTGGCTTTGAACTGTGATCCTCCTGATCTCTACCCTCTGAGTAGCTAGGATTACAGGCATGAGCCACTGGCACCAGGCTCACCGTTTGCTTTTAAAGAACTACTTCTCTCATTCATTTCTTGGATTTTTTTTTTTTGAGGGAACTGTCTGTATATAAACTGTGGGATGAGTCATAAGGAATTGTTCGTGGGGTTTGGGAGTGGTCTCACCCAAGTTTAGAGCCAAATAAAGTGATAGCCACAGTAGTAAGGCAGAGGAAAATGTAAATATCATCTTTATTCCTGACAAAGCTGTTTGAGATATGTCTTTACTGGTGGACAAGTGGGATGATTAGTACTGAACACCAAAATTAAATTTCTCTACTCAGTCCCAGGTAGTACTAGAAAATCACAGTCCTTTTGGGCTCAGTGGTACATGTCTATAGTCCCAGCTACTTCAGAGGCTGAGGCAAGAGGATCGGTTAAGCCCAGGAGTTCAAGGACAGCCTGGGCTACATAGGGAATCCCTGTCTCAAAAGAGAAAAAAAAACCATAGTACTCTTTATAATGGCTAGACCCTGGGAATTTTTGAGCATGTAGGAGCACAAGGAAAAAAAACATGTCATTAGGAAGATCTAAAAGAGAGGAAAAAAGGAACAGCTAAAATAATCTCAGTTCATTCTTCCAAAACTCACTAATTAGCGATTGTATATCATTCCTGCTCCTCTGAGAACTAACAGGTAGATAAAGGGAAGAAGCAAAAATCTCACACTAAATCATGCACCATTGGCTGTAATCCTAGCTACTTGGGAGGCAGCAACCAAGAGGATCACAATTTGAAGCCAACCTAAGCAAATAGTTCTCAAGATCCTATTTCAAAAATACCCAATGCAAAGATAAGGCTGACACAGTGGCTTAAGTGGTAGAGTGCCTGCCTAACAAGCTTGAAGCCCTGAGTTCAAACTCCAGTACCACCAAAAAAAGAGAATGTCACACTAAAGTAGGTTCCTTCACATGGAAAAGGGTGGAACAAGGAGTAAATGTTCCCCTTAGCAGGATTCACTTATTTCTGGTATCTAGATTAGTGACCCTGGTCCCTATCATTCTTGGGGACCATGATTCTACAACTATATCCTCCCAATAAATTCCTTTTTTGCTTGGTGTAGCCAGATGCTATTTCTGTTATTGGCACACAAAGAACTTGTACTAGTTTCCTATTGCTGCTGTAACAGTTACCACAAACCCAGAGCAATACAAATTTATTGATACAGTTTTGAAGACCAAAAGTACAAATAGGTCTCTGGGGCTAAATTCCACGCATCAGCAGAGCCATGCTCCTTTCCAGGAGGAGAATCCAGTTCCCTCCTTCTCCAGCTTCAGAGGCTGCCATCATTCCTGGATTTGTGACCCCCTAAGCCAGCAATCATGTCACTCTGACCTCTGTTTGTGTCATCACATCTCCTTCTCTGACTCTCCACCTTCCTCTTTCCCCTCTGAGGACCTCTGTGATTATATTGGGTTCAGTCGGATAATCCAGGATAATCTCCCCATCTCAAAATCCTTAATCACATCTGCAAAGTCGCTTCTACCGTGTAAGGTGACATAGTCACAAATTCCAAGGATTAAGATGTGGACATCTTTGAGGGGCTATTATTTTTGACTGCCACAAAACATTAACTAAAAGACTGTGCTTTTTGTTGTGGTACTAGGGTTTGAACTCATGGCCTTGTGCTTGCTAGGCAGGTACTCTACCACTTAAGCCATGCCCCCAGCCCTCTTTTTGTTTTAGTTATTTTTCAGGTAGGGTCTTGAATTTTTTGCCCAGGGTAGTCTGGACTGCCCAGTCCTCTGATTTATACCTCCAAAGTAGCTGGGATGACAGGCATGAGCCACCTGACGCGGCTCACAAATATCTTTTAACTAGTCTTGCAACTACCACTTTCTCTCTCTCCAGTCTGTCCTCTACATGATGTCTAAATAATGCAAATTTGGTCATGATTGCCTTACCTAAGAAACTTCCCAATTCCCCAAAGCCTACTTAATAAAACCCACAGCACACTTGCTTTTCCCTGCTCCTGAAGGTTTGCTCTGAGTGTTCTCTCAGCCTGAAATGTTTTCTGCCACAAAGTCAAGTCCTCTCTATCTTTTCAAGGTCCTTCCATTTCACTCTAGCCCAGATGGACTGTGAGCTCCACGTCTGTTACCTGACAGTGCTGGATACTAGCCAAGCAACCAGATCTAGCCTCAAATCTCTGCTAAGCCACAGGCTAGTCATGTGACTTGAGCAAGGTACAATATTTAACCTTTCTGAGCTTTAGTTTCCTCTATTTAAAAAAAAAAAAAAACTACTGATAATAGGTGGCTATAAAAACTAAACAAACTAATGCATATAAATCTCTTAGCCCAGGGCTTGGCACATAGTACCCAGTATTAGGTAGATGGGAGCAGTTATTATTAAAAAGTAATAGTTGAGTTACTAAATGAATGAGAGACTCCCTCAATGGAGCCTCGTTCCTTACCAGTCCCCAAAGCCTAGAACATTTTAAATTGAATGAATAAGTCTTTCATTTTGTGTATTTATGTGTAGTCTTAGTTGCTTTCCCTCCTGGGGGTCCATGCCGGTCAGAATCATTACAGGGATTGGTGATGGAAGGAGAAGGTTGCTCCTACACCCCTCACCCAATGCCTTGCTCAGAGCAAAGCTCAACAAACTCTTTTTATTAGATTGACATGAGTTTTGGCTACATAGATGCTTCCACCAAAGAGAATGTGCTTGCTCCCCATAAGCACTGTGCTGTTTAGGGCACCAATTTGTCATTCCCAGTCTTAATTTTAAGTCTGCTATGGTGTAACTTTGGACTGATCACTGCATAGCTCTAGACTTCAGCTTCCTTTCTGAAAAATGGGCAGAACAATCTCTGCTTCCTTCAAGGTCACTGGGAGGATCTACAAGATCAAGCAGACACCATGTAAAAGAGCAATGTGGAGATGAGAAATGAATATTAACTTCTTCTGTGATGTAAAGTAGAAGAGACCATAGTTTAAGGGATAGCAGATTCATTACTGAGTGTAGAAAACAGTTGCTATGAGCCTGTGGGGACACATAACGGTTTCCTAATCACACTCTCACTGAAGGCCCAAAGGGGTTTGGGGGGCTGGATGAAACTTTCACGTACCAAAAATCTGTAGAAATTATTTCCCTGTCCAAGCAGGGAAAAACTATCTTCTTCCTAACTTAAAAAAATGTTGTTGTTTTTCTCTTAAAGATATTACCTGTGTATTACAGAATTTATTAGAGGAATTTTTGGAAATATAAAAATGCACAAAGGAGACATTATGCATGCTAGAGAGGTCTCCACTTGTTACTGTCAAACGAAATTGAGATTTTGTTGCAACTGCAATTTTACATCCTGTGGATAAATGTTTTCCCATGTGACTAAATAGTCTTATGTGACAGGGGAATTTAGTATACAAATTTGTTGCAATTTCTTTAACCAATCTCTTCTTGAACATTTAGGCTATTGCTGTTATTTTTTGGTTTAGGGTTTGGGGGCTGTATCAGTGAGATAACCTTTGTTACACAAATCTTCACAAATCCTTTGGATTCCTGGAAATGGAATTGCTGGACCAAAGAGTATGTGATTGATACATACTGTCAACTTATTTTCTAAGAGTGAGTTCACCCATTTACACTCAATTTCATAGTACTTAAATGGAGTTGCGGTTGTCATTAACTGTCAAATGTAGAACTAGAACTCTGCGCCCAGGCTCCTGCCTTCCTTCACGTTTTCCCGCCCCGCTTCATGAACACCCCGCCCCACTCTGTCCATGCTGACCCGCCTCTTCCTTACTGCTGCACCTATTTCATCCAATCAGAAGCAGTCTTCCTCGGAGTCGCCACACGATTGGTAAGATGAAGTGTCCGTCGCTGTCAGGGGCGGGCGGAGAGGGCTGACGGACTCCGTAACCGGCCAGTATGAGCGTGGCGTGCGCGGTGTGCGTGGTGCGCTGGCCTGGAAGCTCTGGACCTGTGAGGTGTGCACGCAGGCGGGCGGCGGCAAGAGCGTTTGGCCGACATGGCTCCCAACGTATTAGCTACTGAACCCGAGTATCCTAAAGGCATCCGGGCGGTGCTACTGGGGCCGCCTGGGGCTGGCAAGGGTACCCAGGTGAGTGTCCAAGCCGGGCTCGGCGTTTGAGTCCGCGAAACTCCAAGGTCAGGGCAGTCAAAGCTCCCGAGAGCCCCTTTCTTTCCCAGGACCCGGCAGTGGGCTAAGGCTGGTGGGGGTGAGAAAAACCTTTGCTCGGGTCTCGAGTTCTGGTGACGTGTTTAGTGTGTTCAAATTGGAAATCGGGGAGTTCGGATTACGATTGGAGTAAGGGATCGTGTTAGAGGATCTAAGGGCTGTTAGATGCCTTGGGGGTTAAAGATTGAAAGGTTCAAGGGGACAGGGGCGCCCGAGGCTGAGGCTCTGAATTACAGGCTGAATGGAGACTAGAAGCGTTATGGCCCAAATTCCTTGTCAATTGGGAGTGGGTTGTCCTGAATCGGGATTACATCCAGCAGTAGGGGTAGCAGAACTTTTTTGATAGTGATTAATGACTTGGGTGAAGGACTGACGCAAACACATGCGGCAGAGTGGGAGCTGGTGCGTGCTGATTAGGAATATTGCTTAGAGAAATGAGGTATAACCTATGTGAGCCACTTATGTTGGGGGTGGGGGGCGGATGGAGAAAACCTGAAGCCCTTCCTGTTACCTGAAAGCTGGGGGTGGATGTGTAGATCTGGTTGGGAGATCAACATATGGCCTTGGGAGTCTGAACCACTGAGTAGTGCCCAAATTAAGAATTGGGAATGCTTATGCAATCTCTGGTTATAGTTGGGATCTGAGACTGCTGAAGGCCAAACAGATTTGGATGACTCAAATGATTTTAGATGAGAGGGAACTTTAAACAACTTACTGGATAACAGGTAAGGAAACAGGCCCAGAGAGGTCAAATGGCTTTTCCTAGTTAGTAAAATTGGTTCCGTGGAGCCTAGGATCTCAGAAACCTTGGATCTCCAGAGGATTGGAGTCTGCAGTTGCCTTCTGCCCTAGCAGACTGCAGAGCCTCACTTGGCATGATCTGGGCCATAATGGGGCCATAGATCAGAGTTGGAATTTATTATCTTATTTAGGACTTGAAAACCTATAGGTTGGGTTATTGATGTACCCTTTCTGCCTGGGGCTTGGCATTGTCCCCCCAGGCTTTAAGTGTTGGGCTCTTATTCATTATTAGTCTTTAAAAAGGGAATTTCTGAAAATTTGGACTCTAAGTAAATGAGGACGACTCTGTGCCCACTTCAACTGGCACTTGCCAAGTTCAAAAGTTTTGGCAAATAGAGTATCTTACTAATTCTTGGAACCCTGTGACATTACTTGACACTTAATGGGATTACTGGAAATGGATCAATGACACAAATTAATGTGGGGAATTCTGCCTCTGGGCACTAGGTCAGGAAGGACCACTTTCCTTTGTTTCTCCATCAACTGAGTTGATTCTTCCTTGGGGTTCCACCAGTACCCAATGTACGCAGTGTATTCAGTGATGTTGACATCTCCTCTTTCCTGTTGCTGCCAGTTTCCGTTATTAGGTAACCTGCAGCTTAGGGATATTTAATCCTAGACTTGGTGGACTTTTGCTGTGAATGGTGAAATATAAACAGGGTAGTTCAGGACTGGAGGTGTGGCCCAAATGGAAGAGTGACTGCTTTGCAAGTGTGAAGCTTTGAGTTCAAACTTCGGTCTCACCAAAAAAAAAGGTTAAACAGGGTAGCTCAAATGCATTGATTTGAAGTTGATAGTTTGAGTAGTTGTGAAATGAACAATCCATCCTGAGACAGGGGTTTTATAGTCTAGCAAGCTATGTGATTTCTGGACCTCAGTGTTCTCACCTAAAAATGAAAAGTTTACAAGGATACTGGCAGATTATGTTCTGTACATGTATAAAGCTCCCTTATGTGCCTACATGATGGTGTGGCAAATAACAGGTGCTCAGTGAATGTTGACTCTCTTTTAGTAACGCATCTTCCATCCCCCAACTCCAATTTATTTTGGTGTAAAAGCTGATATAGTCAGAAAGTTTTGAAGAAAATTAGACTTATAAGCTGGTTGGTAAGGATATAGGAATGATGGGAGTAGTTCAGAGAAGGTTTTATGAAGTAGAGAAGGTTAGAAATGGCAACTATGAAAAAAGTAAGATTTACACAAGTCATTTAACCTTTGTATACCTCCCTATTCATAGTGGGAACAATAAAAATACTGGTGGTTGTAATTTTATGGCGTTGAAAGGAAGTTCATAAATCATTGGTTGCAAAGTGGCAGTCTACAGCATCATTTAGCCTGAAGACACACCCAAACTTTTTATTATGAAGACCTTTAAATACACAAAAGAAGACAGAATGGTATAATGAGCCCCAGTAACCATCACCTGCTTCCCCATCCAGTCTCCCTACAAATTGCAAATTATTACAACTTATTATAAAGCAGCTCTCAGGTGTCACAATACATCATTTGTAAATATTTTATTTATTATCTCTAAAAGACAAATTCTTTGTTAAAAAAAAAAAGTATCCCTAAAAAGTTAACATTTCAATAGCAGTTAGTGTTCAAATTTCCATTGTCTCACAAACTATATAAAGTCCCTTTTAATTTTTTATTCCTTTTCCCTTTTCCTATCCTGTAGTTTGTAGAAGAAACTAGTTTGTCCTGGGAATATTATCTCTCCTAATAGGAATTTTCCATTCTTTTCCTCAGTATTTAACATCTTTCTCTCTGTTCTGTTTCCTTGTAAATATTTAGTTTGCTGCAAATGCTTAATCAGATTCAAGTTCTTTTTTTTTCCCAACTACCACAGGTGCTCCATTCTCCACTAATAAGCACTTGATATCTGCTTGTCTCTGGGATATTTGTAGCTATTGCTATTAAGTGCCTAGGTCCAGTCATTCATTATGGTTGGTAAAATGGTATTGTCCTAATTATATCATTCCTTTTTCATTTCTTGCCTGAGATATTTCTAAAAATATTCCTTCCTTTATTCATTTACCAAGTGCTATGGTTTGTATAGAAAAGTCAAGATAAATGCTTGATTTGTTCCCTTTGTCAGCTTTCAAAATATTAAGATGACCATGGGCGTGTTTTCAGTTGTGAAATTTAAGAACCCAGAGCTCCAGTTTCTCTTGAGAAATCAGATCTGGAGCAGTGGGTCTCCATTTCAGGCTGGCAGAAGTCCCTTGCATCTGAGTGATATTACTACTTTGGATGGTCCGTGTGCTCTCCTGTACCCTGTACAGTCCCCCTTCACTGATTATTGCTTACATCACCCTCGTTTCATTCATTGGCATTGCTTGTCTGGTCCCCATTGGCAGATGTTCGCAATCATTGATGTAAAATCCCTAACCTGGGTTTAGTGCCTAGTGCCTGCTCAGTGATATTTGTTTTCTTCCCACTACTTCTTCCTGTTATATCTGCACAACTCAATATTTCATGTGTTTTAGTTGGTATGAAATAATGTTTCTTTTTAAAACTCCTCATTTAGAAACAGTCATTTGAAAACTGCCTGCTTTTGTGTCAATGTAATGTTTTAAAACATCTAGAATACTTGATCATTTTGTTTGTGTGTTTACTTATTTATTTCTTGAACTCAGGAACTAGTGCTTGCTAGGCAGGTGCCACTTGAGCCACACTTCAGCCCTGTTATTTAAATAACTTTATTTTACCCTCTGTTTCCCTTCTGATATTGGATGCTCCTGCAGTGTGGTCAAAACCAAAAGTGTGTTTCTTAGCCAGATGTGGTGGAGCATGCCTGTAATCCCAACACTCAGAAGCCTGAGGTAGGAGGATTAAGAGTTCAGAGCCATTCCTTGTTTTTCTTTTTAAAAAGAAAAGAGAGTCTGTGTGCCAGGTGGCTCACACCTGTAATCCTAGCTACTCAAGAGACAGTGATCAGGAAGATAACAGTTCAAAGCCAGCCCTGGGCAAATCCTGGCAAATCGTCTTTGAGACTCTGTCTTGAAAAAACCCATGACAAAAAAGGGCTGTTGGAGTGACTCAAGTGGTAAGAGCACCTGCCTAGCAAGCATGAAGCCCTGAGTTTAAACCCTAGTGCTGCCAAAAAGAAAAAGAGTTCAAGGCCAGCCTGGGCTACATAGTGAGGCCCTGTCTCAAAAAACCAAGGGAGGGAGGAAGGATTGGGGATGCAGCTCAGCAGCGGAGTACTTGCTTAGCATGTACAAGGCCCTGAGTTTGATCCCCAGCACTGCCAAAAGAAAGAGAAAGAAGAAGATTCCCTAAGGTAGTACCTAAGAACCCCTCCATCATAAACTGTAAGGGTGGGCCTGGCATTGTATTTTAAGCAAGTACCACAGGTGATTGTGATAACACAGATGCTTCTTGACTTTTTATAGGGTTACATCCTGATAAACCCATCAGAAGTCATAAGTTGAAATACATTTACTACATCTACCAAAGATAACTTAGCAACACAGAGTATCAGTTGCTTTAATTTAATACTGTAGAACATCAGTTGTTTCCATTCATGTGGCCCAGCACCACAAAAGAGGCATACCACATCTTGCTAGCGTAGGAAAAGAACAAAATTCAAAGTACAGTTTCTATCGAATGCAGATCTCTTTAAGGGCATCATAAAGTCGAAAATTCATAAGTTGAGAGGATTGGGGAGGCAAGTGTCATATCAGGCTGCAAAGGTGGCAAGAAGAAGCTCCTGAAACAGCCAAAGAAGCAGGCCAAAGAGATGGACAAGGATCTGGCAAAAATTAAGCAGTTCCATAGGCCTGAGATGATGGTGACCCTGATTCCATTCCTATTTAAATGCCTGGATTCTCTGCCATATCTTTTGCTACCTATAACTAGAATGAAATACTGTCTTGGAGTCTGGTGTCCATTTAAGAATAAACTTGTATTTAAAAAAAAAAAGAGAAGAAGAAGAAGAAAGAAAGAAAAATAATTCTAAGAATTTCATTCTAGTTATAGGTAGCTAAAGATGTATGGCTCCAAAGTAATTTCTTTGCTTGAATTGAATCAGCCCATGAATCACAAACCAGAATTTCCTGCCTTGAGCCTCATCTATTTACCTTTATTGTGTGCACTTAAGAAAACTCCCAATGCACTGGCTTAAACTGGGATCCCAGCTGCTTATTTTCTAAAACTGAACCAGAAAGCTAGGTATTGAGCTCCTTGAACTGATTCAGTTCCCTGTGAGATCTGCATCCTGGTTTATAGTCCATCAAAGTATGAGCTCTTTTTGCAGTGCTGGGTTTGATTCCTACGGCCTTGCACATGCTAGGCAAGTGATTTACCACTGAACTATATCCCCAACCCAAACTATGAGCTTTGAGGATAGGATCTATGTCTCCTATTCATCCATTTCCTTGACTCTCAATAGGATTCTTGGAAGAGACATGAGTAACATAAATGTTTCTTCCTATAAATGAAAGTAGAACTAGAGAAGAGCTAATTCTCACTGAAGACTTACATACTGTGCCTACAAATGCCAAATTCTTTAGAATCTGCTCATCAACACAGTGATATAGGTACTATTACCGTCTCCATTTTACTTAAAGGAAATTTTTTATTTTCTTTCTTTCTTTATTTTTTGTGGTACCAGGACTTGATCTCAAGGTCAGCACCTTTAGCCATTCCCTTTTTGTGTGAGGTATTTTGGGGATAGGGTCTGGCAAACTTGTTGCTCAGTCTGGCTTCAAATTGCAATCCTCCTGATTTCTGCCTCCTGAGTAGCTAGGATTACAGGCGTGAGCCACCAGCACCTGGCTTTAGGGGAAATTTGAAACCTAGAAAGGTAAAGTAACTTCTCAAGTCACATATGTAGTGGTTAGTTTACCAAGAGTCCAAGACCCAAGGAGTTTGACTCAAGTCCGTGCTCTTAACCAAAAGGCCATACTGAGCTAGATGTGACCTGTGACTATAATCCTGTCTACTCAGAATCATGAGTTCAAGGCCAGTCTGCACAAAAAAGGGGGGTGGGGCTGCTACATTCCCTCCTAAAACTAATTCGTAGGTGTTTATTATTTACCAAGTGTTTTGCTTAAATATCTCATTTAAGCCTCACAGGTACCTTCTGAGAAGGATCTTTTTTTGCTTTATGTTAAATAGATGAGGAAGCTGAGCCTGTGAGAAGTGATTTGGCCAAAATAACAGAGCTACTTAGTGACAGGAAAGGGGGAGGAACCCAGTTCTGCCTGGGGGGGGCAAATCCATGTTCTTCACCCTGCCCCTCGCTGCCAGGTCCAGTAGCTGTGATACCAGACAAAAACACATTCATTCCTATGGCAACACTCATTTAGCATACTATGTGCCAAGCCTTGTGCCGTGTGATTTAAGCTTCACAGCAACTATGTGAAGTGTTGAGAATACTGCTACTTTATTGTTCCCATTTATAATAGGGAACAATCTTAAGTGTCACTAGTGTGTGTAGTAGGAGTAGTATAATAGGTAATATTTATGGTTTTCTGTGTGCTAGGTATCCTGTTGTAAGTACATATTTTATCTCATATAATTCTTGCCATAATCCTGTGATCATTTTACGTTAGAATATATTGTAAAGTACTTTTATCCCTGTTACAAGTGAGGAAGTAAACATTTGCTGAGTTCACAGAGCAAATAAGTGGCAGGACTTGGTTAATCCCAGGCAGTCTGACTCCAGGATTTGCAGTATTAACTCTGTCTTGGTTTTTACCTTTTTTTCCACAGGCACCCAAATTGGCTGAAAACTTCTGTGTCTGTCATTTAGCCACTGGAGACATGCTGAGGGCCATGGTAGCTTCTGGCTCAGAGTTGGGAAAAAAGCTTAAGGCAACTATGGATGCTGGGAAACTGGTAGGTTTGGTTTGTGCCAGTGAATGTTGATATTCCTCAGAGTGCAGATTTGCACTGTCCAGTTAAAATTAAACATGTGGCTGTTTAACTTTAACTTAATTTAAAATACAGTTCCTCATGTGTACTAGTCACACTTAAAGTGTTTGGCAGCCAACACAGATACAGAACTTTCTATCTTCCTAGAATGTTCTGTGGTAGAGGTGTTTTGACAAACTGACAGGCAATATGAACTTTTAAGGTAGCAAATTACTTGGTTTAGTCTGAATTTATGACAGTTTATTCATAGTGTGAGGTTACTTTGAGCTAATGCTTTTTGTACTGCACCCAAATTTTAGGACCAAAAATGAAACTGCCATCCCTAGGCCAGACCTTAGGGGTCTATTCAAGAGAAGACTTAGATGGTCACAGAAGTGTTTGTTTTTTTCTTTTGTGGCTCAGTGTTCTGTATCTCTAAAAAGGGAGTTAGTTGGCAGTTGTGACAAAAGTAGTCCTCCTACCTGAAAAATAATGACAGCATTTTTCCTTGGTTTTAGGCCAATTGGTCTAATTGGAAAAATACAATGTATTGTCTACTAAATCTTTTATTAGTGCCAGAGTTTAATTCTAGCTCTTGTTAGAGAATTTGACCTCTGGAAATCACTTTCAGAAGTCATTTTGTGCTTGGTCCTATGCTTTTTTTTTTTCTTTGTCATGCTGGAAATTGAATCCAGGGCCACTAAATGATACCTCTTAACCTCTCTGGTCTTTTGTATCTGAGAATGTTGGTAGAATAAAGTCTGAAATTTGCTTTCATCCCCAGGTTACATCCTGTTAGGCTTTGAGATACTACAGTTGCATTGAATAGTATCATTCCCTACCCACTCACCTGTCCATTTATTTTTCTTACTTTCCCTTTATGTTTGTGAGGCCTTGAATCAAGCCAGAAAGCTAGGTATTTTGGACTTTGGGTCTGGGCAGAAAATTCTGTACTGAGAAAAAATTGGGATGTGGCAATGAGATTGCTTATCTCAAGCCTTCATTTAGTCACAGAGTTTATAATTTGTCCCCAAGTTCATAGCTGGTCCTGAGAGATAACGGGCTGTCAAGATTGGCAGCCTTCACTGTAATATAGGGCGGGAACTTTTATTTCTATAAAGGCTCAAGAAAAAAAAAAAGTTCTTGAAAGGAGGGAGGGGTCCTTACTGGGAATTTTAAGGAGGCTCAAAAGTGTATTAGATAGGAGCTAGGGATCTAGCTCAGTAATAGAGTGCTTGCCTAGAATGTATAAGGCCCTGGGTTCCATCCCCAGTACTGGGAAGGGAGAGGGGAAGGGTGTATATTGAGTTGGTTCTTTTTTTTTTTCTTTTGGTGACCATGGCAGGACTTGAATTGGTTCTTTTGTTCCTTGTTTCTGACCCAATTTTACCAATTCTGTGAATTTCTTTGTTCATGTCCAGATCAGCCCAAACTTGTGACCAAGCATACATCTCAGTCGTGATACTATTAGCCTAATGAAAATTGTGAATCAGGGATAGTTGGTACCCTTTCAGTCTAGTGGCAGGATAGGCCTTCAGGACCTAAGACATGAAACTCTCCTACCAGACAACAGGCTGTGGAATCCCTTTTCTTTTATTCAGCTTATTGGAACACAGGAGAGTTTCAAGGGAACTACAGAAGTAGTCATAAAAGTGGGCAACAGAGCCTATGTTAATCAGCTTTATGTCACAATGACAAAATACCTGAGAAAAATCAACTTAGAAGAGGAAATATTTATTTGGCTCACAGTTTCAGAGGTTTCAGTCCAAGGTTGGTTGGCTCTATTGTTTCTAGGCCTGTGGTAAGGCAGAGCATCATAGTAGAGAGCACGTGGAGCAAAGCTGCTCGCTTCGTGGCAGCCAGGAAGCAGAAAAAGGAAGAGAATGAATATACCTTTAAAGGCACACCCCCAGTAACCTACTTCTCCCAACAAGGATTTACCTCCCCTAAAGTTTCCACCTCCTCCCAATAGCACATTAAGGTAGGAATCCGTAAATGGATTAATCCACTGATAAGATGAGACCCTTCATGATTAAATCACTTCCCAAAGACCCTATCTCTGTATACAGCTGTATTAGGAACCAAGCCTTCAACACATGAGCTTCTGGGGGGCATTTAAGATCTAAACCATAACAGAGATACTCCTCATTCGCTCTGATTCTTGCTTCTTCCAGGATAAGCCATCTTGTCATTTAGTAATCAAGTTATATCCACAAACTCTTGACCTTTTGAAGTTGAGATAATGTCACCTACTTATAACAGAATTAAGTATAAGGCTGTTTTGTTCTTCTAGGTGAGTGATGAAATGGTAGTGGAGCTCATTGAGAAAAACTTGGAGACACCTTCATGCAAAAATGGCTTTCTTTTAGATGGCTTCCCTCGGACTGTGAGGCAGGCTGAAATGGTGGGTAGTTTAATGTTTCTGTTACTGTTGCATGAAGGCAAACTTGGGCTCTTTATCTCTTAATTCTCTGAAGGAGATGGGTCTGACCTAGCTCTGGTAGCTTAGGTGGATCACATACTCTCTTACAGCTTGATGACCTCATGGAGAAGAGGAAAGAGAAGCTTGATTCTGTGATTGAGTTCTGCATCCCAGACTCTCTGCTGATTCGGAGAATCACTGGAAGGTATTTGTTCCCTGAAAGCCCCTCCTTTTTATGCTTCCTCAGAGCTTTGTCAGACTACAAATTTATTAGTCTGTATTCATTGTACAGGGGGGATTCATTGTGCTGATTCTCAATAGCCTTACATTGGTTAAATCGTCCCCAACGAATTGCTCTTAGCCTAATCACAGCCATGAAGCTTAATGCCATTTCAGCAGGAATTAGCCTTATTTGGTAACATATGAGGGATATTCCCTCATATGTAGCATGAGGTTAATAGTATCTGCCTTAAAGAGCTATTATGCATGTTAGGTAACATAAAATACATAGCTCAGAGCTTTGCTTATAGTGTGTGTTTAAAAAATGTCACATTCTTTAAAAGCATGTCTCTTATTTTTAGTGCTTTCTAATTTGGTTTCAGTTGGAGTTGCCATATTTTGATGTAGGCTTTTTATTAATTATAAAAATACTGTCACTACACGCAACTTAGGAAATGGAGGAAAAATTTGTTCATAGTACAGCCACTTTACTTTTGTGCGTTTATTTCTCAGGAATAGGGTCAAACACAGAAATGCTCTGCTTCTTAGTAAATTTGTTCTGAAAGATTGCTTTAAGCTGCATTATCCTCTTCCCTACTTCACTAATCACTTTGCCATCTGCTTTGTGCCTTCCACAAATGTTAGAAGCTGTCACTACTATTGTACCCTCCATTCTTTTCTTTATTGAGAGCTGTAGCATTTTTATGTCTTTCGTTTGTTTTTGTTTTTTGAGTTACTGGGGCTGAATCAGGGCCTACACTTCGAACCACTCCACCAGGCCTTTTTTGAGATGAGTTTTTTCAAGATAGGGTCTTGTGAACTATTTGCCTGGGCTGACTTGGAACCATGATCCTCCTGATCTCTGCCTCCTGAGTAGCTAGGATATAGGCGTGAGCCACCGGTAGGTAGGCTGTCTTTGTTATTTTGATGAAATCTCAGGAATGTGGTAAGCCCACCATCTTGAACCAGGCATTTTTTGTGATGGTGGTACTGGGGGTGGAACTCAGGACCTTGCACTTGCTACGCAGGCACTCTACCACTATGAGCCACTTCCCCAGCCCCACAAATATTGTTTTTTAATTGTTTCATATTTCACGGTATTAGGTGAGCCATTCTTTACTTAATTATTCCCTTACTGTGTGCATTTGTGTTTCTTCTAATTACCCACTGTTAAATTGATGCTATGATCATTAGACAGTATGTCATTTCTTTCTTTCTTTCTTTCTTTCTTTCTTTCTTTCCTTCTTTCCTTCTTTCCTTCTTTCCTTCTTTCCTTCTTTTCTTTCCTTCTTTCCTTCCTTCCTTCCTTCCTTCCTTCTTTCCTTTCCTTCTTTCCTTCTTTCCTTCTTTCCTTCTTTCTTTCTTTCTTTCCTTTCTTTCTTTCCAGTATTGGGGTTGGAACCAGGGCCTCATACTTACTAAGCAAGCACTCTACTATTTGCTATTTGAGCTATGCTCCTACCCCTTTTGTTTGTATTTTATTTTTGAAATTGAGCCTGACTAATTTTGCCTGAGTTGGCCTCAAACTCACAATCCCCCTGCCTCTGCCTCTGGATTAGCTGGGATTACAGGTATGTACTACCATGCCCAGCTAATTTTGGAATTTAATGAGGAAGAAAATGTTTTGATTTCCTAATGAGGTTAGACATATTTTCATGTGTCTATAGTCCATGCCTTCAAGAAGAGAGGCAGACATGTGGATAGAGAGGAGAGTGTGTGTGAGAGGTGTTATCCTGGAAGGCTATATGAAATACAGTTGGATCTACTTTGTGTTAATTTTCTTTTCACATGTCCAAGTTTCATGTTTTCAGCTTTGCTCTAGGCTCCTTCAATGTGAAGGTTTTTGTTTCTTTGCATCCACAGAGTAGACACAGTTAATGGAGGCTGAGAAGCAGTAAGGTTGACAGTAAGGGACATCACCATGTCTGGGGTCCCTGAGGTGCAAAGCAGATGTTAACAGAACCAGGAGGCTCTGAAGTCCTTTGATAGGATGGATCCAGCATCCTGAGTACCTGCTCCCTGCATAGCACAATACTAGCCCAGGGGACAGAGGACCAGGAGAGAACAATGATGCTCATTTCTGACCTCAGAGAATCATGTATGAAATCTGGGTTCTAGATGTTTGGTTCAGTGTGCGGTAGGAAGTCCAAGATGAGAGCCTGGGGACAGGTGGGGAAGGCTGCCTAGGAGAGCTATAACATCAGCTCAACTTGGATGAAGAGAGTTTTAGTGAGGCTTTCCCAGAAGGGAGTAGAAATAGGAATGAATATGGGCTGAGGGAGGGGTTATTAAAGCTGGGGCCCAGAATTTGAGGTGTGCTCCGGAGGATTGGAGATGGAATATGTGCCTTTGGGAAGAAAGGATAGGAACTCAGCAGGTCTGCTTGACAAAAGAGTTAAAGTCATGGTATTGGGGCAAAAACAGCATTCAAAGAGCATTGCCTCGGTGCTGGCAAATTTACAAGGTAAATTTGGGGAGAGGAGAAACATAAGGACCCCATTCAGGAGACTGCTTGTGATCCATAGGAAGTAAATGGAGGCCTCTGACTGGTTGGGGGAATAGGACAAAAAGATTCTGAACAAGCTGCAGAATTGCAGTAGTGGGAGGATGGGGAAGACTTAGTCCCTCAGTTTGGGAGTGGTGGTTTATTATGACCCCCTCCCTCACAAAAGAGGACCCACCCACTCCCTCACAGGGCATATCAGACTGGTGAAGGTGTTTTTCCAAGTTTACTTGGCAGGTGAGTGAGGGCTAGCAAAAGAAACCTGCTTTCTGCTTCCTAGTATGCTGTGCTGATGGTTGGAAGAAAGTAATACTTCCTAATCAATTTAATGTGGATGTCGTTTAAGTCTGAGGTGATACGGACCTCACTTTAACGTCTTCTGAATTAGCTGTGACCTCACTTTTAATAATTTTCAGTCATTATTTTGTTTCTTGAATACGTGTGGTTGGTGGTTTTGTTTTGTTCTTTTTTTTTTTTTTTTTTCCACAAATTCAGTATTGGCTCTCTGGTATCACTACCCTGATGTCCAGTACCATCTAAACTGTAGATGAGAAAACATGGGTCTAAAGTGCCATGCTTAAGGTAGCAGTAACTGTAGAATCCCAGCCCCGATTGCTTCCCTCCTGTGCCTCTGCCTGAAGGCTGGCCAGCGGAGCTGTTTTGGTTGGTACTTGAGACCAGTCCTATTTTGAGAACTCGGAGAATTGATTCCTTTGATTTTTCCTTTCTTTGATTTTTACCTTCTATGTTATTCTAGGGAATGAGCCTTGCATTCCTCTTAAAAATGATGTTTCTGAATGGGGAAAGAGCAATGTATTATATGTAATCAGGGTGCTGAGGGAATGTGGAAATTTATGAGCAGTAGTATAGAACTGTGGAGAGGAGAGAGTCCTATTTGTTGTAGTCTGGCTGCCAGGTGCCCTAATTCCCTAGAAGGGGAAGAAATGCCACTGGTCCACATCATGCCCCAGCCCTTCACAAGGGGCAGCAACTGAGCCCAGCAGCCTATGCTCTCCCTCATCCTAGACCTCCCATTTCTGAATGGCTGTGCCAGAGGAACCCTCTCAGGGACTCAAATAATGGAGGCCTAACCTCCCTGTACACAACTGCAGTCACAGGTCCACTCACTGTTCAGTGTAGCTTATTTCTGTGCTGTCACTTCACCTCCCCCCATTAACCCACTGTCACCTTACGCCAAAATGGATCACGTTGACCCTCCAATATGCTGTATTAAAATGCAATATTAAATTTTGCTGTTAAGTGGCTTTGATAGTATAAATAGAATTTTCTAACCTATGTGCTAAGATACTGACCCCCCACAGCCTTCAAAGCAACTTGGTAGGCCCCCTGAGGGCTGTGCAAATACTGTGTGCATACCAAAAAAAGGGAAGTGTTAGGACGAGCTAATCTAACAGACCTTCATGAGGAGAACAGTCATCAGTTAAATAAGCAAACACTTGGTGAGCAGAGAGTTAGGAAAGTACACAGCTCTGGCTGTTGAGCAGAGTTTGGCTGCCTCTACTTCTTCAGTTTCTGGGCCCTTCTATGTGGCCATCTCCAGGCAGGAACATGGACTTTTTGCCTAAGGGGGTTCAGCACAGATGCAGCTACCAGCCAGATTCTAGTGCCAAATGAATGCTTATTCTTGAGCTCTCTTTCATGTCTCGTGCTTGTTTTGTGAAGAACCTATCCCTCTTGCACTGACTGATCTCAAACTCCTGGGCCCAAGTGTTTCTTCCCACTTTAGCCTCCCAAGCAGCTGGGACTACAGGCACACACCACCGGCCCAGCTTAATGATTCATTTAATAATGTTGTTTTTCCTAATAACCTGAATATTGCCCCACAATGGTTAGGCTGTCCTTTATCTATATGGTCACAGAGTGTGTTGCATTGTATAATGTCTATATTTGCATCCATAGAACATCTTTTTTAACACTTTTGTGCTTTTGAAACCAAACTAGGTTAGAAAGTAGGGTTAAGCCACATACAGTGGTGCATGCCTATATAACCCCAGCTACTTGGAAGGAGGCTGAGGCAGGAGGATCATGAATTTGAGGCCAGCCTGGGCTGCATATAATCTCAAGAGAAATAAAGAAAAGAGGACTGGAAATGTGACTCAAGTAGTGGAGCACCTGCCTAGCAAGCATGAAGCCCTGAGTTCAATCCTCTGTACTGCCAAAAGGAAAAGAAAACAGGATTAAATTTTCCAGCTTCTGTCCTCCATAGTACTATGTACAAATCTCTGTTAAAGGATTGTCCTTTTGTTGTAGTTACTTATTTCCACAATTGTATCCCCCACTAAGCACTGCTTATTGAGCAGAGAACTCAACTCATTGCTTCATAGCCCCTGGATTCAGCTTAAGATCTTAATTGCACTAGGAACTTATTGGCGTTTGTCAAGTAAGTGAAGAGAGTGGGTGGCTGTGTGAGATCAGCACCACAGTTCCTTCTCTCAAGTCCTGAACTCTGCTATTGGTAGTTATTGGCCTAGTTATTTTCCTAAGCAAGGTCAGTTATTTTCCTGAGGGGTGCCAATAGCTGGGTTCTTTGTTGGGTGAAAGTCTTAACATCAGCTTCTGTATCTCTGCTTGTTGTTCTGGATATCCCTGGGACTCAGGGGCACTTCCAGGCAAACTGACTCATGGTTATTTGCTGTCTTTCAGGCTGATTCACCCCAAAAGTGGCCGGTCCTACCACGAGGAGTTCAACCCCCCAAAGGAACCTATGAAAGATGATGTATGTAAACTCAGCACAGGAAATTTTCTTTCTTTCTTTGCTGTTTTCTTGTTGTTGTTGTTGTTTTCTTTGTTCTTCCCTTTTACCAGTATTACTGACTTCACCATGAAGAATATCCCTGACAAGTAAATCACACGGCCTATGACAGACCTGTAGTGTCTCCCAGATGGTTTATTGCTTAATCAGAGTAGCTGCCAGAGCACAGATTGTACTGTTCCTTTCCAGAGCAGCCCCATGCTGGTGTCATGGCCTTCTATGCAGTTACCTAGCCAGAATGTTAATAGGTGTGAGGGCAGTTCAAAAGAGAAGTTTTTTGACCAGTCCTGCTCCAGAATATGTTCCTCTCAGAATATCCCAGTGACCAACCATTCTGTTATGTTCTGGGGTCTTGTACACGATCACTAAAATAGACTTGTGGTCTATTTTAGAGCATTCAGGTAGCAGTGAGAATTTCCCAGATTTACCTTTGTCGTATGAGACAAGTTCATCAGGTCATCCATGTTCTCTAAATACATGTTCCAAAGCTATCATATCAACTTAAGTCACATTTCAAAAAATTGGTAATGTTTACCCTTCAGAATTCTTTCCCACTTTACTTGCTGCTTTTAGAATGATTAGTGAGTGATACCCTAGTAATTGTGTTGAATATTTAGGCACCTAGGATTCTACTTGATAATGCAGCTCTGATTTTGATGTACTCTTCTAGCCTCAGAGGCCTCCATCTTCCTTCTTCTGACCCTAGAAGTGTTCATCTTGGAAGCTAAACTGCTTGAGCACAGAGCTGTGAGAGAAAGGCATTGCCCATCTTCCTCTCATGAGTCCCTTTCCTCATGGTTGCTGTTTGTGACAGGGCTCTGTGACTTCTCTGAAACAGGTGGTCTGCTTCTAGGAGTAGCACGGTTCTTCGTTGGAGAGGATCTAGATTGTCTGTCTTGGCCTCTGATGAACAGTGGGATCAGATAGCATTCCAGAAAGAATAGTCCCATCTCAAATCTGCATCTGCCATGGGTAGGGAAGCCTTGCTAATCGTCCTAGCCTTTCACTTCCCCTTCTTATTCTCAGATCACTGGGGAACCCCTGATCCGTCGATCAGATGATAATGAGAAGGCCTTGAAGATCCGTTTGGAGGCTTACCACACTCAGACCACCCCACTCGTGGAATACTACAGTAAACGGGGGATCCACTCTGCCATCGATGCATCCCAGACCCCTGATGTTGTGTTTGCGAGCATCCTAGCAGCCTTCTCCAAAGCCACATGTAAAGACTTGGTTATGTTTATTTAATGTCAGGGTCAAAAGGAATTTCTATCCCTATTAAGGGAGTGGGTGGGAATGGCAGGGCAGGTAGAGGGAAGCTTCCTTTCTCATTCTAGCAAGAATCTCTTTTGATGTATTGATTAAAAGGCACTTACTTGATATATCTTTGATGTGTGTGCAACTCTCCTCTCATCTCTCTGTGTGTGTGTGTGTGTGTGTGTGTATGGTATAACTATGTGTTCATTCCTGCTTTCTATGGGGCTGGGTTGCTTTACCACCTATTTACTTCCTTAGCCATGCTGTATTTAGACTATCACATGTATCTGCCAGGTACCCTATTTCAAAGCCTCCATATCATTTATCCCATCTCCAGCAGCTGATTAGAAGACCAAGGTCACATGAAGTCAGGCAGGGTCACGGTTTCTGATGCACATTGTTGGCAGAGAATTCTACTTGTTTTCAGCCTTCATGAGTCAGTGGGTGGAAAGGAATTATTAGCTTTTTTCCCCTAAATGGAAGAAAGAAGGCACATTACAGATTCCAGAAATTATTAAGAGAGGATATCACTGTAGAAAGAGCCAGGCCAGGTTGAAATATTTCTGTGATCTTCACTGTGGTGCTCTAAAGTTGAAATCATTTGGGAATTTGATTAGAAAACTAATCAAAGAGAATTAAGCCACGTGAAGGATCCTTTGGAATTCAGATTGTCTTCTGAACATCCAGGCTGGGCATCTGAGAGCCACCAAATCCACTTCCCCAAAGAGAAAATATGTTAGGTTTGTTGGTTTGCTTTGGTTTTTAATGTTTGCCTTTTTCCATGTGTGAGCAAAACAGTAATTTGGGGGTGATCCGTTTTTTATTTCATTTTTATCAAAATTTATTCTAGCCCAGTCTGTCCAGGATATAAAACTCAAATGTGTCCTTAATAAACACAGACCCCCCTCCCTCCCAAATCCAAATCCAACCCTTCACCCCTTATTTCATGGCAATAGTGCCACAGACTCCCCAAGAAAAAAAATCATCTAAAATAAGATCACCTATGTCAGCAACTAGCATTTTTTTGTTTTTGTTTTGTTGTTTGTTTGTTTTTTGGGTATTTTTTTGTGGTGGTATAGGGTTTGAACTCAAGGCCTCATGCTTGCTAGTCAGGCACTCTACCACTTAAGTCACTCTACTAGTCTTTTTTGGTGTTGGGTATTTTTGAAATAGGGTCTCGTGAACTATTTGCTCAGGCTGGCTTTGAGCCTCTATCTTCCTGATCTCTACCTCCTAAGTAGCTAGGATTACAGGCATGAGCCACCGGTGTCCATCTAGTCACCAGCTTTTATTTGTAACCTTAGCTCTCTAGCCATTTCCTAGGGTCTATGCTGTGCTTTTGGTCTCTTAAGTCTGATTTGTAACAGATGAATTACTAGGCACTGTGAAGCGATCTCAAAACCTGTGGACTCTGGAAAAACCATTAGAAAGTCAGTGGCACATCCAGTACACACTGCTGCCTACCTCAGCATAATCTGCTGCTGACTAGGTACAGTGAGCTGTAAAGTGCCTGGTCCCCATCTGATCTGAACTCTCCTGCTGTCTTTGAGACTGCCAGAGGGTTTGTCCCTTGTCCACATGGACAATGGTATGAGGCCCTCTTGCTTCCCATTTTGCCTGTCCAAGTGAGTGTCTGCCGCCTCTCCCCTGCCTTGTTTCCCTGGCTCTATGCTAACTCCACCCACTCTTAACAGAAAGCCAGTGCTTTATGTGTTTCTGGGAAACACATGACTGCTGGGAATGGGCAAGGAAAAAAAGAGTGAAACCAAAACTATCAGCTGTGCCTACAGGAGTATGGAATCCTGAGGGTGACCTCATGAATCTTTGAATTGCCTTCCCTTTGACTGGGAGTGGTTACAGGCACTTGGCCTGAAAGACGGGACCCTGAATATTTTCTAATTGAATGTGCATATCACAGGCATGTGCTTGTGATATTTGGGCTGCAGGTAAGAACTAGAAGATTACAGGCGATACCTATGTCCTTCTGAGGGTGGTTAGAATTATATCTTTGCTTCATTTAATTGCAGTCTTAACCTCAGCAGGCATGAGAGCTTTCACCTGGCAGAGAAATGTCCACTGTTTAATGCATTTGGATGCATGCCAGCCTTCCCTGATATTTACTTGGTTCTTAAAAACCCATTTTGTTCTCTCTTGTTTCCTCTTTCAGCCTAGTAACAGAAGGCCAGGCGAGACTGCAGCACTGCTCATCACCCTGCGGCATGATCCCTGCTCTTTCTTAGGTGCTGGGCGGAGGGAAAAGGGTGGCCAAGGGAAGGATGGAAAGGAAGGGGTGGTGAGGGGCTTGAGAAGTATTTGGAAGAGCAGCAGGGTTATTGTAGTGCGTGGGATTTTTTTACACATAGCTGGAAATTTTAAAAGTATAAGGAGAAGATTAATTTAAAAAAAAAGAACACTGTGATTAGAGGGTGTGGGTACAAATAGGGAGATACAGTATAAGCAAGTGGGTTTTTGTTTACTCTGGACTGATGACAATGTTTTTTTAAAGCCAATTCTCTTAAGACCTCAGTTTTTATCTCAGAACCTCATGAGGTGCTGGGCCAAGAACACAGGAAATCAAACTGTGGTCCTATCTGTCCTGTAGCTTGGAACAGGGAGTGTTTGACTGCTGACTGGTTCCTCACACCATAAGATCAAAATATCATCTCACATTTGAAAGAGATAAGAGATGTGTTTGTGCAGGTGGTAGCTCAACAAATCAAGTTTACTGTAGTCATGGGGGAAGGAGGAAGCAGATCTCACTCTCATCCCCTCAGCAGCTACCACAATCCCACAGTCTTGCCTTCTTTCATCCATGGTGTGTGAAGGAACCCTTTTAAATGAGCAAAGAAAGGGCTGGAGGTGTAGCCAGAGGTAGAGCGCTTGCCCAGCACATGCAAGGCTCTAGGTTTGATCCCCAGGACTGCAAAAATAAATAAAAGCAGATGAGCAAGTGTCCTAAACTGTATCATCCAAAGATTATCCTTCCATCCTCAAATCCTGTGACCGGGATCACTCGACAGCACTGTGATGTATTCGTTTCAACAAGGTGCCTTTCTTAACTTACCAAATGCTGCCTTGTTTGGCCCCTAAGTCAATAAAAAATGTTAAAAATTCATATCCCCCTGTTGTGGCATTTTTGGGGGAAATTTGGGCTACAACAGTGACATTGAGTTCTGGGCCTGGCATGGAAACCCTTTCTTACGATCACTAGCAGCTGTGTGATGTGGGGGTGAGCCTGCACCCTCATGACCTTCAGTTCAAGGTAGCGTGGTTGGAGTTCAGGGTACCCAGGACAAATTCCAACAGCTAGTCACCACTGTGCTCTTATATTCTCATCTGAAAAAGGCCTGTGATGTCACCCTCTCAGACTTACTGGCATTAAATGAAGTTTATAAGGAAAAGCTTGGCTTGGTGCCTACCACACAGCACACACTGGATAAATGTTAGTTGAATTGGAACATATGCAGAAAAATATCTGCTTCCTGCAGAGCTGGCTAATTGTGGAATGGACTGTTGTCCACAGCCTAGAAAACCAGTGCTTCTAACCCCTAAGCCAGGTCTTTGGCTGCATTTTCAGCTGCTCCTTTTAACACCTTTGGTTTCTGCTTAGTGTGTTCTAGTTTAAATTCACTTACTCCCCCAGCAAAAGTGAGCTTAAATCATTGCTCCAAACTGAAGCTCTCATGCTTTTAGAAAGCTGCCTTTGCCAGTGAGGTTTCTGAGAAATTGCTGCTGTTCCCAAAACCAGATGGAGCTGGACCGGAAGCCCCACCATTCTTCAGCCATCTTGTGACTAAGAGGCAGAGTCCTTGCTGGCTCTGAGCCAGCCCCTCCCTCATCTGCTTTTCTGTTCCCCACCTAAGTGGAGTCTCTGATGCCAACATGACTGATTTGCTCAGATCTTTTCTTTTAAATGCCAGTGAAAAATGTCTTCCTTTTCTTGGTCACCATACATCTAGTTGAAAGAAAAGTTAGTTAAACCAGCCTGGTTGAAAGGAATTAAACTGAGAGAAGACTGAGTGAGCTGTTAATTTATAGGGCCTTGGTTTCCTCCTTGCAAACCAATATTGGATGAAAGAAAAATTGATAGCCCTCCTGACATCTTGCCAGGTACTATGCAGAGACCTCACACCCTGCACATCACCCTCACAAAGCACTCCAGACAGTCAATCTGTCCTCCTGCTTTACAGGTGAGGAAGACACCTGTAAACATTGCTCAGGTCACACAGAAGAGGCAGAGTTGGAACTCACATGCAGTTTCCAACACCAATCGATTCTTAACTTTGTTGAAATAATTTGGTGATTTGTGCAGCTGTACAGACAAGACAGGCCCCTCAATAACATTCTTAATGTGGACACTCATGCTGTCAGGTTGATTTCGAAGAAGTCACTGCCATTTCTGAGGACCCAGAATATGTCTTAAGATCTCTTGTGTTCAGAGTGTCACAGACAAGAGTGGGGCAAAGAACAGTGTCCTCAGAAGTCACAGTCTTTCCTCAGAAGATGTTTCAGCAGCAGCTCCTCCCTGAGAGTTTGGGCACCTTATCTCCCCCATTGGTGGAATGGACTGACCCCTACTCTCAGACAGGCTGAGGCCTGACTGGTGACTAAAATGCTCATGTGGGTCGGGATGGCCAGTACACAGCAGGTGCTCAGTAGATGCCGAAGAAATTCAAAGAAAATGTAGGTATTGGTGAGAGCTGATAATCCTCTTGGGTATAAGGAACCGACTAAGAATTCTTCACCTGAGGATCCACTAGAAGTCATGGACCTCCAAAATTCTTTTTGGAATTTTTTTTGTGTTTTCATAACTAATAGTTTAACATAAATGGGATGCTTATTGTGTGGAAGGGTCAGCATACATTATTTGTACCACATGGATGTAAGTACTGCTGTCATCTTCATGTCATGTCCATGCACTTTGAGGTGCATGGCAGAACCAGAGCCTGAGCTCAGGTCTATGACTCCACATCTAGCCTTGTTCCACTGTGCCAGGGGCTCTGACATTTTGCTGGGGAGGGAGAAAAGGTTCTCAGAAGCATTCATGAGATACAAAAGGCTATGAGCCATGCATCAAATGAAAGAAGAAAGCATGCAGGTGTGCTCTGTCACAATAAAGGACCTGAGTGGGGAACATTACCACAGGTAAGGCCTTTTCCTATTTTATCGTGCTGTGGCTTCCTTCCTATTGGTGCAAAACTCCTGGAACCGCCCCATTCCAGAGCAGCAAGAGGAGTAAGTTTCCCCACCTCTGGTTTTGGAAAGGGTGGCGGCAGGAGGGCATGTATACTGGCTCTATTTTACAGTTATCTGTCTCGGACTGCAGCTGTGTGTGGCTGCTGGCATTGCGTCATTCATAGCTGCAGAGGGAGCACTGCGCTGCTGATGTTGCAGGATGTGACAGCCCTGTGTTTGGAGTCAGGTAAGACACTGGTGATGAGCTTCCTGCACAGGGGCCCCTTCCGGGTGCTGGTGGGGGTAAGAAGGGGAAGAAAAGGTATGGGAAGGCGAGGCCAGACTCAGATCCTGTACAGGTAATCCTCCAGCCTATTAAACCAAGCAGGTATAGTACTTTTGTGATAAAGTTGTGGAGCAAATCATCCCATTGAACAGCGTCCCTTAAAGAAAGACTTTTAGGGCAAGTTCTTATGACATTAGACTAGGAAGTACTTATGCTCCCTGTTTAGCTGGGCTGCATTCTTAAAAGTAAGAAGCATTCACTTCTGTGCTTTTCCTTTTTGCTCTGGCTGTGAGGAAGCTTGGAACTAAGTCTTGTATTCAGCTGCTATGCTTTTCTCTGCTAGAGTTTCTTAATAAAATTCTTGCCCCACCCCTGTCTCAGTTTCTTTATGTTTAGTGTTTTTGTGTTCGTGTGTGTTGTTAACTGCCTTAAGTCTACTCTGGAAGAAAGCAGGTGTAAAGGAAGGGCTAATTATTTGGTACAGGAGGTCAGAGGCTCCATGCAGTGGAGGAGAGTCCAGCAGGTCAAGGGAAGATACGGAGGCCACTGTACTAGAGATGCTCTAACCTAATGACTAATCCCTAGAGTTCTTGGGAAATCTTCTGGTCAGAAATAGTATTTTTCTCTTCTATGGAAAATAGAAGAGAATATTTTTAGTTTATGAATAATGTCAAGAACCCAGAAGAGCAGAAGACAAGGATAGGTACACAGAGAGTTGATGGCCCCTTTAAGTTCAGCCCAAGTGCCATTCTTCCTCTTTCCTGACACACCATGGTCTGTGCTTTTTTTTTTTTTTTTTTTTCCTTTTGGCAGTACTAGGGTTTGAGCTCAGGGCCTACACCTTGAGCCACTCAACCAGCCCTTTCTTGTGTCGGGTGTTTTTGAAAAAGGGTCTTGTGAACTATTTGCCCAGGCTAGCTTCGAACCTCAATCCTTCTGATATCTGCCTCCTGAGTAACTAGGATTATAGGTGTGAGCCACCAGCACCCGGCATGGTCTGTGTTTTAATGATGAATCAGGAGATTCTCTGCTGTAGGACTGAAGAGAAGGGATTCCTCAATTTTGTTGTCAGCTTTGTGTTCCAGGCATATGCCCAGTGGTGTGGGCATGAGTTCTGGGGATGACAAAGATGATCTGTAGTTAGATCCTGGCAATGGCAGTAACTCCATGTGTGCCTTAAGGGAGACACTTAACCTCTAAACCTCAAAAAACTGATTGTAAAGTGAGAAGTACAACACCCATGTAGAAAGGTGGCAGAGTTCATATAAATTGAAAAATAGCTGTCCAATAAAGAATCCTTTTATCTCTTTTCCTTTTAATCCTTATAATCCCTTTATCTCATTGCCGTTTGCCAAGGAATAAAGGACCTCACATGGTCACCACATATTTCAGAATGGATATTTTCTTCCATTCCTGTTCCCCCAGAAGCCAGAGTGGAATGCTTTACATTGGGGTGTTTTCTGAGCTGCCTGATGTGGGGATGGGAATCATTTCTCTTCCCTGGAGCCCTAGGGAATTCTTCTCCAAGTTGGCTGGAGGAATGTGGACCTGACATGGCAAGTGGTCAGATAGGAATGGTAAGTGGTCAGATAGGGATGGTTTTGATACCCACAGGCCCAAAGCTCCCTGAGCAAGAAATGTATGGTTGAAGATGAGGGAACTGGAGCCGCTGCTGAAACCATCCCTTGGGGTGGCTGCACCTGCTCAGTTTCCACAGACCCACTGCACTGGCTGTCATGGCTGCCTGCAGAAACTGCCCTTCAGGCCAACCTGGGCAGGAGCACAGAAGTATGTGATAAGATCTGTGAGACTATGACACAGGGAGGGAGTGGTCAGGAAGAGGAGTGAGAATCTGTTGGCTCCTGTTTTGAGAACCTTTGAAAACTGCCCTGTGTAGTCTTACTCCCATTTCCTGCATGGGGAGCAGGAAATGTTTCTCCCTTTTTCTCCCATTCCTCCCTATTTTTATCATGTTATACAAAATTTCTTTCCTAATAAACTTTACTATCATTTTATAGTTGAGAATAAAGAAAAAGAACACTGCCATGTAATGGAATGAGAGAGTACCTCCTTTTTGGTGAGGTGGACAGGCCCAGGTGGTAAAGATCAGGTGCTGTAGGACAGTGGCACCCAAGTGCTCAGCAAGCAGTCCCTAGCTAGTGAACCTAGCTTGTGGATTCCAGTTTGTCTTTATCCTGAGGACATGAGTAAGTAATGTGCAGAAAGCACTTAGAACAGGGTAAGAACTGGAAAAAACCTAAATTTCCAACAGTGACAGATTGATTCATTTATGGGATGGAATAGTATGTGATCAAAAAATAATCATTTCAAAATAAAAGTTTTATAAGCTACTATAAAGTTATAAAACAATACAGAATGGGTTTATGTTTTAAAGTAAACTTTTTTGAATAATTCTTAAGTTTACAAAAAAGTTCCAAAGGTAGTTAGCATTTCTGTCTGTCTATAGGTCATTATTTCCACTAATGTTAACATTGTCCATAGCTATGGTACATTTATCACAGCTAAAAGATAATATTGGTACATTACTAGACTGACTATATTTTTTACTAGCTTTCCATTAATGTCCTTTTTTCTTTTCTAGGATCAGCCCTTGATACCACATTGCATTTACTATTTTTGATTTTTAAAAGCTTGAGTATCTAGAAATGTGTCTGGCAGGGTAGAAGTGAAAATGTTAACAGTGATCATGGCAGAGTGGTGGAACTAAGGGGGATATTTATTTAAAAAAATAATAGTGCTTTCTCCTGGGCGCCAGTGACTCAAACATGTAATCCTAGCTACTCAAGAGGCAGAGATCATGAGGATTGCAGTTTGAAGCCAGCCTGGGCAAATAGTTCCATGAGACCCTATCTCGAAAAACCCTTCTCAAAAGTAGGGCTGGTAGAGTGGCTCAAGGTGAAAGACCCTGAGTTCAAGTCCCAGTACTGCAAAAATAAAAAATAATAGTGCCTTCTAACTTTTCTGTGTT